CTGAAACCTGAGGTCATTACCTTTTACAACAGTACGAAGGGAGGTGTAGGTGTCGTTGATCGGCTAAAATCAGAGTATTCTGTGAGCAGAATAAGTAACCGTTGGCCCCTTACTGTCTTTTGTACTCTGCTCAATATTGCCACTGTAAATAGCCAGATAATTTTTAGAAGCAAAACTAATGTAAGTTTAAAACGAAGAGCTTTCATTACTGATTTAGCAAAACAACTTGCACTACCCCATGTAACTCGTCGAGCATCTATACCAAGGTTATCTACAAGTCTTCGTCAAAAAATACATAACGTAGCTGTAATAAAACCTCAACCGGCACCGTCAACAGCAAATAATAAAAAACCAAGATGTCTTTACTGCCCAGTAAGAAAAAACCGCTTTACCCAACATCGTTGCAATATTTGCACAAGCCCAATTTGTAAAGAACACACGCAGAGAACAAGTTATACATGCACAGAATGCACAGATGACGATAATGATGAAAATTAAATCATTATAAGTTTTTTGTTTACTTACCTTTTTAGCTTACTTATTCCCTTTTTGTGTTTTTTTTAGGCAGTGAGACAGAATAACGTTAAGCAATTATTTGCAGAGTCTAAGGGAAACAGGGAATACTTTGCTTACCAAAACTTACTTTTTCTTATCTTTTAGCTTACCCTTTTCGGTTTTGTTGCCATAATTATGTTAAGTTTGAATGTGTTAAATAATTTAGTTTCAGTTTTTGCTTTTTAAAATGAGTTGTTGGGAAACTAAAATTGTTTTATTGAAAAAACACTAATGTCTTAAATCTTAAAATCTAACACGACAGTGATGGTGTAATAAAATTAACGCCATTGATGCTGGGTTAAAAAATATAGTGATGTATACACAAAAAAAAGATTAAGAACAAGAAAAAAAGAATAATATAAATATATCTGTAAGTATAATATATCTCTAACGTGTTTTGAACTGTCCAAAAATGTTCACTTAAAATAAACTATTGAAAGTCCAAAAATTTATTATGTATCATTCATAATATTTATTTTGTGTTAATACTATTATTAACTGTGTATTTTAACAGTCTTGTGAAGTAAATTTGAAGTAAACCCAAATACATAGTAAAAATTTTAAGTGTAAGAGGTTGCCCGATCGCCCCCATAGATTTTCATCTCAATTAAACTTCAGTAGACTCATTGTCCGCTTTATCCTTTTTGTGATTTTGATTAATCAACTTTTAGTTTCACATACACAAATAGAAACTGCTGAGATGTTAAAGAAAACGAAACTCCAAAGTACTCTCTAAAATTGATAAGCCATAGATAAATAAATTCAATTAGATTCTTAATTTTAGATATAGAAATAAAAAGGGTTCAGTCGTTGAGTTGGGTGTAAATAACAGTAAACTTGTATAGGTATAGTTGCCTTGCTAATAATGCGAATATTTGCATGCCTTGATGTTTCACCTAAATATAACTGATCGCATTCACAAAAAATTTTTCTTATAATTCTCTTATGTGTGATATTGTTATTTTCCTCGTATTATTTCTTTTGTATGCTGTAAGATCCCGTTTTAAGTTTTTCTGTTCTATTCCATCGATTGTTGAAAATCCCTATTTTGAACAACTTGAACATTTTTCTGTTAAAAATTGATACTGGAAAATGACTTTAGTCATATTCCAATATCAATTTTCATATCAATTATTTGACTGAGTATGTTAGGGATCGAAGATGAGTCACCTTTAACTTGAAGTATTCATTTCATTTGAATAAGATTGTTGGAAAATTTAATTTATTTAAATTTCATCATTTACTTAACAACATTTAATAACTATTTAATTATTATTTAATATTTAGTTTTAGTATTTTTTTATGACTAAGATATTCTATTTTTTTATTTTTGTAAAAATTGGGACATTCCGTAAATAAATAAATAAATAAATAAATAAATAAATAAATAAATAAATAAATAATAAATAAATAAATAAATAAATAAATAAATAAATAAATAAATACAAAACAAATAAATAAAAATAAAAAGAAGAACTACTTGGAGCTGGATTTATTGGAAGATTTGGAGATTACAAGGGAAACAAATGAAAACTCTCACAGTCTTAATACTCAAATTATTTTAAATTGTACTAAATTTAAACCTAATTTTAAATACTTTATTGCAGCTTCACCTCGTGTGGACCTAGCTCGGCTGTTTAGACTTCCTACACTGAGTATACCCATTAATAATTTATTAATTTCACACTTTGATTAATATTACTATTTTATTCTTGAATAATTTACAAAACTAGCTTGCTCAGGTTCAACTGATCTATAGTTGGCGTTGATTACAGTCTCCATATCTCTGTTGTATATTTCAATATCTCCCACTGTTGATCAGTTGGTCTTGAGTAATGCCTTGACATTTTATTTTATGGTTTTTTCATTGACTGTGGGTTTAACTGAACTACTTGGATTAGTATAATATCGTCGGTAGGTAGACTTTACGGGAAAATTATCAAGGAAAAACTAGAAACTGAAATAATAGGAAAAATTGGAGAAGAAAAAGTGGGGTTCACAGTAGGAAAATCATGCCTAGATCATACGTACACATTAGACCAACTGATAGAGAAGAAAATGGCAAAAGGTAGACCGGTCCATCTGGCGTTTGTTGATCTAAAAAAAGCATACGACTCAATACCTAGAGTCAAATTATGGGAAGCAATGAATGATCTCGGAATCCGATTAACACTAATAAAAGCAGTTAAAGCACTGTACAAAGAAAACAAAGTAGCTATTAAATGTGGAAATAAAGCCTACAATCCATTTAAGACGACAAAAGGACTTCTACAAGGCTGTGGTACGTCCCCTACTCTGTTTAAAATATTCTTGGAAAAGACACTCAAACCATGGAGGAGAAAGTGCGAAGGAATGGGCATACCAGTAAGAGACGAAAACCTATACACCTTAAGTTTTGCCGAAGATCAAGTAGTCATCGCACAAGATGAAGAAGATCTCAGCTTTATGCACAGAAAACTAGAAGAAGAGTATAAAAACAACGGAATGGAAATAAACTTGGAGAAAACCGAATACCTAACAACAGAAAACAAGTATGTAACAATGAGTAACAATGAGAAACCTAGAGATAGAATAGGGGAGACAAGTAAATGGAACAGATAAATTCAAGTATTTAGGAACCATAATATCGAACCAGGGAACAACAGAAGAAGATACAAACAACAGACTAAAACAAACAAGAAACTGTATAAGACAACTAAATTCAGTGCTGTGGGATAAGAACATTACGATAAAGACAAAAAAGAGAATATATAATACCCTGACAGGAAGTATCCTAACATATGTGTCTGAAAGCTGGACAATAAACAAGAGAAATAGAAATAGAATAAGAGCAGTAGAAATGGAGTTCCTGAGGAGAAGCTGTAGACTTCCAAAAAGAGACAGATTTGAAAACGCAGAGATTAAGCGGAGAATGGGAGTGCAATCAGACATAATCGACTATATAGAGGAGAAGACGAGAAGAGACTATCCTGGTACGGCCACGTCAGAAGAGCGGACAGAGGACGCTGGATAAACAAAATCACAGAATGGAGCCCGATCGGAAGAAGAAAGAGAGAAAGACCCCGAAGGTCATTCAGAGACGAAAATCGACGAGGCTATGGAGAAAAGAACCCTGTGAGATGGAGACTGGAATGATAGGGAAAATTGGAAAAAAACGGTTGAGTGAAGCAAGACAGTGAAAACTGTGGAAATCCTTAGTAGTAGTAGTAGTAGTAGTAGTATAATTTCATATTTCATCAGCTGATTTCCTATAGTAGTGTCAGTTAGATTTTTGGTCACTGCTAAGTTTTATAGAATTTTGTAATATGCAGAGGACATCACTATGATTGTGACTGCCTATCCAAGCTGTGATATGTCACATGTCACCTTAACATTTCCGTTATCACCAGCAGTCATTCTCTCTTCTGATGCCAACCATAATGTAGCTTCCCTTTAAAAATTTTAAGCTGTTCGTCCTTGTGTAGTGTAGTTTTATGTATAATTTTATGTTTATGACATCCTCCACAAATTGCTGGATGGACCAAAATTGATGAAGTAAGTCTGAAACGTTATATCACATAAAAACTTTCATGAACCTTAAACTTTGAGTTTTTTTAGTTGTTAATTGATTTTCTTCATTTAAAAAAACGTTTCTTGGCTTATTTCAGATGCCCCTGAAGATGCTTTAGAAAGCCAAAGTACTTGGACAAGATTTGCTTAATCAACTGTGCTCGATATCTGCCTTTTCATTTGATCAAAATAAATAATATTTTGATTCTAACTTATTTGCTTTGATGTTGATATAAACGAACTATATTTGTTTGATTGTTCATCATAAAGAAGTTTTTATATTCTCTACTTCACTTAACTTCACATTAATACATTATTTATTATTCTTTCTAGTCTTTCTAATGTAGTGTTATCAACGTATTTTGAAAAGATCATTAATGGACCGCAAAACAAACGAACCAGTTCTCGAACAACTAGGAAAACAATGCCAAGTTTTAAATTTCATAAAAATGAGGAAATTGGAATATTGATATTATCATGAGAGGTGAAAAATACGAACTACTAAGGAATATAATTCAGGGTAAAATCAAAGGCAGAAGAAGCGTAGGAAGACGTAAAATCTCGTGGCTACGCAATCTCCGTGAATGGTTTGGATGCAGTTCAATTGAACTGTTCATGCGCATAACCAACAAAATTATAAATGCCAGAATGATTTCCAATCTCCGATAGGAGCGGAATTTGAAAAAGAAGTCTTTCTAAACAATTCGCTAAGCTAATGATGTCATTAGTACGTCCTATGTTGCTCATTAAAAGCTCATTTACTATGATCCCTGCGCTTCCAATACGATTTCCTTGGGAATAAACCATAAGATGTCATTTTAAGTAGAGCTATAAGGTTTTGGTTATGCTAGATTTCGTCTAACGTAAATAAAGTTAATAAGTAAAAAGCAGCAGATACAGTCAATTTTTATTTGCAATATTAAAGTATAAAAGAATTAAATAATAATCCCATTCAAGACTAGATTCCAAACCGTAAACATCAGCAGCTCACAGTGCTGAACATTATAAAGACAAAAACTTTTGTAAAATGCTAAAAATATTAATATGGCACAAACTAAAAAAATATATTTTTTGGAATACTACCACTACCTGTTCATTTAAATTCTACCATAACCATAACAAATTATAGAAAAGTAATACAAGCTTACAATAACCATGTGTCTTTTAATTTGTTTGGCTTCTAGCGCAGTTAAAAAACAAAAAAAATATTATTTTGTAAATGTAAAGAACAGATAGCAATAAAATTAAGATATCGAGTATTTACAAAAGTTTTTTTCTTTCTTCATCGTATTAATGTAGATTTAATTAAATGATAAAAGATAAAAAATATCCTTATTCTTGAGGTGCAGCTGCACCAGCCCCAGCATCCTCAGCCTGTGGATGTGCCGCATTAAAGTCCAAAGACTTCTGAATCGCTTCAGGAACTGGTGGAGGAGTGGGTAAGTGGTCTCCTTGAGGTTGGAAGCCGTTTTCATTGGCTATGTATGATAAATGAATGGGGGTACCGTCATCGGCTGTATACTCGACCTGGCCTGAGACTTCTGCAATAGTTTCGCCTTCCGTAGCACCTGGTTTAAAGGATCCTTTTTCTTCTTGTTTGATGCCGTTTGCTGCTTCAAAACTAAAAGAAAAAAAAATCTTAACAAACTATATATTATTTATAAATAAGAAAAAATAAAAACAAATTATTAGTATGGATTAAAGTTCAACGATAAGAAAACTAAATATAGTGCGTTAAGTTTTGGATTAGGTATATACACTCTACAAATGGCAACACTGCGCGTCGTCGACTTGCCACTACATATCTGCTTCGTTGACTCGTCGTTGCTCGTCGCCCGTCGGCAAATTTGTCATATTGTCATTATACCGTGGTTGTTTAAAGGTATAAGAGCGTAGAGTTTTAATTTATTTTTGTAAACATGTCTGTTTATATGGCGGCGGAAAAAGCTCAAATAATAAAATGGTTTTATAATGGAAATTCTGCGCAAGAGTGTTTAGATTTATTTTCTGTGTTTTTTGAGGGAAAACCAATTCCTTGTGTACAGTCAATTTATAATATTGTTAAAAATTTTGAGAGTTGTTATTGCCTCAAAAATTGCAGAAAATGTCACGCTCAAGAAGTGTTACCAGAAAAAGTTGAGGAAAGAGAATACCGGGATACACAAATTTGTGCAACAATCGAGGTAGATTCAACACGTTCAAGTAGAAGCGTTGCTAGAGAGTTAGATGTTAGCAATGTTACTGTAACGAAAGTATGGAAAAAGCACGATTACAAGAATTTTAAATATTCGAAAACTCAGCAGCTTTATCCAGACGATTACTTTCGAAGAATGGAGTTTTGTGAAACTCTAATAACGAAGGCTAATAGTGGACCAAATTTTATTAAAAACATTTTGTTCACTGACGAATCTTTTGTTTCGTTAGTAGGGAGACACAATCCTTCACAACCAAAATCAGCACAGAAGTGTTGTTTACCGAACTCAACGTCCTCAAAAAGTTAACGTCTGGACTGGCATTTTAGGAGACCACATAATAGGTCCATTTTTTATTGAGGGCAACTTGAATAGTAGAGTATACCTCGATTTGTTACAGAATCATGTTTTTCCCGCTATTCTCAATTTTCCTGATGTACATCTGGAGAATGTTTGGTTTCATCAAGACGGCTGTTCAGTTCACAACGCTCGAATTATTAGGGCGTATTTAAACAATACTTTCCCGAATCGAGTTATCAGTGGAACAGGCGATATTAAGTGGCCTGCATGATCTCCAGATCTTACACCCATGGACTTCTTTTTTTGGGGACATTTAAAAAGCATTATCTACGATCATCCTGAGGCTAGAGCCCAAAATTTGGATGAATTAAAAAATCGAATAAGAGAAGTCTCCAATTCTGTTACAGCAGAAACTCTTTCATCTGTTCGCAGAAGTTTTTATGACACATTGGGGAGCCGTAGAAGGTCAACTATTTGAACCATTTCTGTAGGTCATAAAGAATTATTTTTTATTTTATTAGGAATAATATTTTAATTTTTAATAAGAGTATATTTTTTATTTTATCTTTTTAAAGAAAGACGCTTTTATTAGTACAAACATTTTATTACTGGTATAAACTCATTGATTATTTCTGATCTCTTTAAAAAACATTATTTTTAGTTAAGGAATACTGCGCAAAAGTGAACCAGTAATCTGTTAGAATACATGCAATATAATCGACTTACCTCCACTGATATGATCCATCAGCGTTGACACCTTCATTCTCATATTTGATTAATGCAATGGGTGGTTGAGCGTTAGCTGGTGGAGCACTTGCAGCAGGTGCGTCAGCAGGACGTCCGTAACAGACTGACAAGATGGCCAAGCAGACGATGAACTACATAAAACAAAACACTATATTGTATAAACTAAAAAAGATGTTTGAGATCGAAGGCATTTTTGACGTTATCTAAAATAAAAAATGTCCTAGTTTTAAGGAAAGGGAGACCTTGGCACTCTTAGGGAGAGCGCCCACCAACTTTCAAATGGCAAGTAGCAAGTAGCAAGCATCTAGCATGTTACTTAAAATGTAATCAATGAAAACGAATGATTCAGCGCACCTAAAAAGAGAGTGACGTCATTCATTTTAATCATTCGTTTGCATTGGTTATATTTTAAGCAACATGCTAGATTCGTGCTACTTACTACTTGCCACTTGCAATGCAAGTTTGGTGGGCTCTCTCACTTATACAAACTACTTTTACATAGTTATAAGGTGTTACAGCTTTCACCAGTGAAACAGTTTTTTGACATCCAAATATTTAGTTATTAGTAACTTATTCAATATTTGCCAAGTTAATTATTATATCGTATTTCTGTCTATCAGTCTGTCTGTGCCATAATTTTTAAGAAAAATCTTAATTTATACTTTGCATTTATAGGAGATGTTACTAAATATGATAAACAAAATCCTCAATAATACAACAAAAGAATTTATAAAACGGGTGACAATTTATAAGCACAAACGTGGATGTATAATTATTACCAGTGACTTAAAGCAGATTACTGGGTTAAGCACTTCAAAAACAGTAGAATCTCGTTTAATATCAGACTCGTAGGATGAAATTACAGGCCTCAAAGCAGCAGGTGCCATGCATTGACTGCATCCCTACAGATCTCATCAAACATAAACTTAACGTTGTTATAGATTAAATTTTTAAAAGTCTGGGAAGAATATTAAATGGCAAAGGAATAATGGACTAGAATTATGTGTATACTGCATAAAGAGAGAGATTTATTTAAATGTAGAAATTTCAGGGGTAAAAATCTTTCGGCTACAATATAGAAAATATTCTCCATAACCGTCAACAGCCTTTTAATTACGTACGCGAAAGAACCCAATGGAAAACATCGAAGCAGTTTTAGATTAAGTAAGTCAGCAACTCTCCCAAAAGGTAGAGGTGAAGAGGAAGAGGAGCAATTTTGACCAATTTGCCTTCTTAGTTCGATAGCCAAATTATACAATCAGCTTTTCAAACGAGGCCTTAAGCGAGAGCTAGAAGAAAAGCATGCGCTGAGCGACCGCCAATATGATTTTAGGGCCAAAAAGTCCACCATAGATCGGTCACAGAAGTAACCTCTTAAGTTATGCAGGATACCAAGAGATGGGTGGCTCTCATTCTGCTTGACGTCGAGTGCCTTTAATACGGCATTATAAAAAAAAATAATTAACTGTAACAGGTATGGTTATATATAGGTTTTTAGTTTTTTATTTTAGTTGTTCATTGAATGGTTAGACCACCTCTCTGGAACGGTGGTTAAGGTTTAAGCCAGAACACGGTTAATCTGGCACTATACTGGGTTCTTCTGGCCTAGTATCCTACTCGGCTTAAAAATGCCAGGGTGTCTTGCTCCTTGACGTAGATCTCCAAAAAAGAATTCCCCCACCGTTGTCTATCAGAATTCAATGGATACCTTCTTAGACTCTCAGTGGAATCTAGCAGTACTGCCATTATAAAGAAAGGTTAGCAATTCTCATTTATGCTATGTAAACCCTTAGAAAAAAACTATTAAATTTAATATTGATAATTAGGTAAAGAGACATAAGAATAAGTCTTACTGCCAATATGTTTAAGTTAATAGAATTGATACTTTCCATCTCTTCGTAAACTTGTGAACACATGATAGCGTGCTAAGAGAAGAATTATATTATGTCATGAATGAACTTAACATTTTCCATAAACTAATAAACATAATATTTAAAATACTTATTAGAAGTGCAAACAACTATAAGTACAGCAATTTGGTGAGTTCAAATACAAGGCCGATATGACATAGTAGAATGTGCCTGTGAATGATACTGTGTGTACATGGAATACAATGTACATTAATAAGTCATTTCTTTATTTATATTACCTTTAATAAAAGTAAATGAAAAATTACATTTTTTCCTGATTTTCGTCATGACTAAGGATGAAATAACAATAATGATAAAACTATCCAAGAGATTTACTGAAGTGAATCGATATTGTGAAGAAAAGAATATATTTTACATAATAGTACCATTTACCTCTATACTTGTATAGAGAAATGTGTATACATGGATTTAATTGAAATTTTATGAATAGGTAAAAAATTGCTCAAAGATAAAAATTTAAAGTATGGCAACATGTGCTTTTCCTCCAGGGAATTATAACCCTAACTCGTGGGTATAAAAACTGTTTATCAAAAAAAAAACATGGTAGTCTCTAAAATAGTAAATTTTAAAATAGAAATGTTCTGTAGAGTTTTATCGAAGAGTAGATATTTTTGTTCGATATTACAGAGTTATTCGTGACTAAAAATATAAATATTACACTTTTATTCATCGAACACAAAACTCCAAACATATGACCTTGAATAATCAGAAAACGATAAGTTTTTCATGAAAAACTAATAACTTTGTAAAAGATCTTACAAAAGCGTTAAACTGAACGATGGTTAAAAGTATTTGCATTAAAATTAAAGTAAGTTATAACTAGGGTGACCATATGTACTTTTTTTAGTAGGACAGTACTTTCTTTTCAAACGCTGTCCTATTGTACTTTAAAATTTATGAAGTACACCTAAATGTACTCTTTTTCTTATTTACACAAAATTAAGTCCTACTTTTTGTCCAAACAAAATATAATTATGGTTCGAATTGATTCAAGAATCGATCTTTTGCGGAAGAATCAGAATCTCCTATCTTTAGCAGCAATCGATCGGCTCAGGAGTCACAGGAGTGACTCTCGTCGCTGCGTCATCGTCTAGTTTAGTTTAGTACCGATACGCCCATCTCCCTCCCATCACTGTCGATTTCATTTCGCAGCAAGATCTTATTATCTTATTTATTTAGTAAAAATATATATCTCGTGGTATGTTTATGTTTATTTGTTACTTGTGCGCTCACTGTTGATTAGTCTATTAACCTTTTGTCTTAAATTTCGGCAGTTTTTCTCGTTTTCAATATTATTTTGTGCTGTGTGGAAAAATTTCATCATGTCATCAGAGTATCCTTTTATGAAACAAAAATCAAATGTTTCACCGCATATTGTGATTTGCCAAATTTGTAAAAGTGATGTTGATATTTCTAAGAGTGGTCGCAGTAATATCAAACAACATTTGTAAAAGAAAAAACACATGTTGGCTGGTAAAGCGAACTCGAAGAGCAGCAAATTGGAAACCTTTGTTAAAAAAAGATCTGAAAATATGTTGATTGCTGCCAAGAAAGGTACTTTTTGCTTACTATATAATTAAGCATTTGCAAAGTTTCAAATCCTCAGACTGCACATCAAAACTAATGATAAGCATGTTTGAACCTAAATTTGCTGCAGTTCGAACCAAGACTGAGGCGATTGTAAAAAATGTTTTAGCTCAAGAGGCTCAATCCCAATTAGAAATTGACCTTCGAAAAGCAAATTTCGTTAGCATCACAATCGATTCGTCGAATCATCGAGAAATTAAAGTTGTGCTCTTAATGGTAAGATATTTTGATGGAGAAAATTACTTAGCAAGTAAAATTACTTCTGCTAGGTGACTTAACTGGTGAAACATCAGAGCAGTTAAAAGATTACGTGGTCAATGTTTTGAATTACCATAATATACTACAAAAATGCATCGGAATGTCTGCTGATGATACAAATACAAATTTTGGTGGAATGAGAAGAACTGGAGTGAACAATCTATCCAGCAAATTAAATGCTTCTCGTGGTAAACCCGGATTGGAATTGGTTGTGTGGCACACATTTTTAATAACTGTTTACAAAATGCAACGGACGTCTTACCCATAGACATCGAGGTAATTGCGGTCAAGATTTTTAAGTATTTCTATATTTTTACAGTCAGAGTGGAGAAACTAAAGCAGTTTTGCGATTTTGTTGATATCGAGTACAAACAAATGTTGTCGTTTTCAAAAACAAGATTTTTGAGCCTAATGCCAGCCATTGAACGAATTATACAAATGTTCGAACCCTTGAAAGCATATTTTTTATTGATTGATAATTGTCCAACAGTTATAAAACAGTTTTTGCAAAACCCAATCAGTGAAGCATAGATGTGGTTTGTGCATAACATTGCGTCTCTTTTCCACAAAGTGATTTTAGATGTAGAAGGTGACAAAATATGCGCAACGGAAGCCACTTTGGAGTATTTCGAACTCATAAATAAGCTTCAAAATCGCTTAAATGAGTTATTTTTAACGCTTAAACTAAGAGAGTCACTTTCAAAACTTGCAAATATGGAAGACCTTGACCTTAGTGTAAACTATCGGGATATCTTTATCACGTATGCCAAGCAGTTCTATTCAAATTGTGTAACATATTTGAAAAACCGGAGTGAAAATTTAAGTGAACTAAAGCTATTCCGATGGGTTAACTTGAAAAAACAAGTTTCTTGGGATGAAATTTTATCGTCATGTAAGGCTTTTAAAGACTACATAGGTCCGATATGGAATCAGGACGAACTGTTTGATGAAGTTAGTATAATACGAACCTACGTTACAGAAGATAAAATCGCAGACTGGAATTCGAAAAATATTTCTACCGAAGATCGATGGCTCGAAATCTACCAAAACGAAAGTGCTTTGAAAAATCTCAAAATTCTATGTGAGTTTATTTTTTTGTCTGCCTGGGACCAGTGCGTCGATTTAGCGGTTGTTCTCAAATATCAATAACTATTGGAGTCCCAACAAACCGGAGTTGAAAATATCTACTCTGGAAACCATCATGCAAGTCTACACAAACTTCAAAATTTCGTGCAATGAAATGTTTCAGTTCTTAAAGAGTAAACCACAACTTCTGCAGGAAATTCATAGTTCCAAAAAGAACAACTGGTACCAACAAGATGATCACGATGCTCAAGAAGAAACGTCGAAAGAAA